GATAATGGAGCATCCATCAATAGATTCTTGTCACCAGTCATGTGGTTTGTACATCCACTACCGAGGACCCACTCAGTGGCTTTGGGTTGATCATCTTGCAGATGAATTAGTGCAGCTTACAAACTCATATACTTCATCAGTGAAGAATATGACATCAATTCATCAGATCAATTTCATCAAGTAAAAACACTGATAAAGCAATATGAGGACGTGAGAAATGAAAGTTCATTTCTTCATGATTAGCCTGCGTCCTTTCAGGCATGCTCAGGTCTCCAGCAAATTCTCCAGACGATTACGTGCGTCTGGAGACCTGACCCTGCAGAAGAGATTAGTTCTTTTTCTTCACCACCCACATCTAAAGGGGTGGCAAAGAGTTCATCATTCTGCGAGCTCCATACGAGAAGGATGGCATAGAAGTCAGTCCATTTCGTTTCACATAAGAGGGGTTAGAGTAAGCATAAGGGTAAGCAGAGAAATTCTTTGAGGACTTATGGACATAATGATTTGAAGAATAATGCACATATCCATAATCCTTAGATCTTCCCTGCGAAACAGACGGGTTAGCACGATGATGTTCATATGAGGACTTTGATCCATATGAAGAATTTGGTCCATATGAAGAATTTGATCTGGGGTTCCTATGCTTCACAGGTGGCGTCATGATGACATTCACCTGAAGATTTTCAAGGCATCTTTTGAGAACCCAGATTTTCTTCACAGGGGAGCCGTTCCTGCAGTTAGTGCCAACATATCTAGCAAATGCTTCACCATTCTGATTTTTGAATAGCTTATAGTTGGAGTCAATTGACTCATCATCAGAATGAGGAGATTCACATGCAAATCCAGATAAGTTAGATGGATTAACTGGAGGTCCCTTTGCAGCAACCCACGTAGTTTTGGGGTACTGCTCAGGCTTCCAATATGTACCATCAGCATTGAGTTTCCTCTCAAAGGCGATACCCTCTTTCCTAGGGTTCGTGTTGAGGATTTGCTTTTTAAGCACATCACAAAGAGCCTGATGCCCTTTGAGGCTTTTGTACATGCCTGTTGTGTACAATTCCTTCAGCCCTGCATCGTCAGTGATACTAGCAATGTCCTCAGATGAGGAATTAGTGATAGCAGAGGCATGTGAAGAATTTGAAACATTAGCAGCATTTAAACATTCAGGTGAAGAATTAACAGATTCACGTTCAATGCACTTCAAGCATGAAGGAACAAATTCTTCCTGAGATGCGTTGATTTGTTGAGCAAGTAATGAATCGCGCTCCTTCTGAAGATCTTCATAACTCACTCTTAGCTTCTCAAGATCTTGCTTTCTTTGAAGAAATTCATAAGAAAGCTTATCATGATCTGATAAGAGAGTGTTATGATGACTTTGAAGATTGTCAAGCTTGGACTGAAGTCTCTGAAGATTTTCATTCAAAGTTTCAGTGCGATCCATTTCTTCACCCAACATATCATCACTTTTGTCTAGCATGTTTTGAACATTTTCTAAAGCCTTTTGTTGTTTAGTGGCAATATAAACAAGCTTTGTATAGCTAGGTTCAAAATCATCATCAGATTCATCTTTGCTAGACTCGGATGAGGAACGTTCGGTTACCTTGGCACCTTTTGCCATGAGGCATGGTGCAGAAGATGATGGTTCAGGTTCGAAAGTCATCGTTTTGAGTGATTCCTTGAAATCCTCAAACCAGGGATCATGACAAGTTTGATGACCTTCATAGACGTCAGAGATTCGGCCCCAGATAAGCTTCGCATTGCAAAGATGCATAATGCGCCTGAATTCATCTCTGGATAGGCAGGAACAAATGATATCCTTCGTCATGATGTCAAGTTGAGTGTACTTGCGAATATCATCAGTGTCCGCCATCTTGCATAGGTTGGTAAGACCAATCTCAGTGACGGTCCACAGCTCGTTGTTCATTGCCATGAGGCGCTTCCTCATCATGGCCTTCCACTTGGGATAATCATGACCGTCAAAGATGGGGCATGTCACTTTCTTCATACCTGCGGTCGACATAACTAAAACTCCAGGCGGTTAAACCAAAATCACACAGAACAAGGGAGTACCTCGCTCTGATACCAATTGAAAGTGCGTTATATCGACTAGAGGGGGGATGAATAGGCGATTTTTATGAAATTCTTCACTGAGGAATTTGCCGGTGAGGAAATTCCTTAGCGAAGAACTACTAGTAGCGGAATAAGTACTCAAAAGTAAACACAACAGAATACAAGCCTAGTCATCATGATGAAATGAAGACAGGCACAGAGTACAGAAAGCGTAATCACATGATAACACAGGATGAAGACAAACAAACTGAAGAAATTGAACTGAGGAAATTGAGAAAGTCTCCAGTCAAAGTCTTCAAACACAGATATGAACAAACATACATCACAGTTATGAGGAAATGAAAGAGTTGAGAAAATAGAACCAGTAAGCTCGGTGAAGACAATGATTTGGTAGACCAGTTCCAACTGTTGTCTCAGTTGTACGTCTGGTTGGAGCGGCTAAGTATTCAAACTCGAGGACACAGAGTCCCGGACACCCAGTCAAGGACACTTAGTCCAAGACACCCAGTCCTCACTGTATTCTTCTTGAACTAAGGTCACACAGACCTCGTCCAATCACTCGTGGTAAGTCTTTAGGCGACTTCCAAACCTTCACAAACTTGGTCACCCGGCGATCCACAATTCCTCTTGGATGCTCTAGACCATGACGCCTAACCGTCTGGAAGAAGCACAGTCTTCAAAGATAACAAGCGTCGGATCCACTCAGGATCAATCTCTTCAGTGATGCTCAATCACTTGGGGTTTGTAGGTGTTTGGGTTTTGGGTTTTTGGTTTTCCTCACTTGATGATTTTCGCTCAAAGTCCTCGGAGGATTGGTTGCTCTAAATTGACAAGTGTCGGTTTCTATCGGAGCAGCCTCTCCCAGCTAGTGGTTGTAGGGGGCGGCTATTTATAGCCTAGGGAGCAGCCTGACATGATAAGACATAAATGCCCTTCAATGATATGACCGTTAGGTGGATAGATATTTTGAAACAGCTGGCGCATAGCATAATAACGGTCGGAATTTTGAGTACCAAAATCCTCAGGGCTATCATGTTCCTCACTGTGTAGGCAATCCGCACTGGCGAATTCCTAACTCCTCGGTCAGGGCAAATTCCTCAGAGACCAGAAGAACTTCGTCTCTGTCACTGAAGAAATTGACTGATCTGTATGAGATTTTCAATGGCTTCACTCGAAGGGATTGGTAGGTGTAGGATTTTGAGTTGAGCATCACATGGAAATTTTTCCTTAGTATTTCCTCGACCCCCTTTAACAGTACGGTGTTTCCTATGACTCAAGAAAGAGAAAAACAAAACTATGAAAACGAAAGTCTTCAAGCTTCATATTCCACGCACGAATATCAAGTCTTCACGAACACACCAATTTCTTCACTTTCAAAGTCTTCATGAAAGTCTTCAGAAATACCAAAATCTTCAGTCGAAGATATTCATTTTTAGGGGTCGACTTTTCCTGTAAATATCAAACTCCTCATAGACTTATAGACCTGTGTACACTCACACACGTATTAGTCCCTTAACCTATAAGTCTTCAATACACCAAAATCACTAAGGGGCACTAGATGCACTTACAATTCTTCTTCCCTTCCATTTCCGCACATGATTTCTTTCCTTTTTAGCCTGTTTCCTACAGAAACACATCAAAGAGAGGATTTGTGGAATCATTTGCATTCATTAGTCCTTAGTGGCAATATCGAAGCGAATATCTCTTTTAAATGAAACATCTTGGTATAAACAAAGGTGAAATGAGTGTAAAAAATATCACTCATCAGCCGTGTTCCCCACGGTCCACGAGGATTGTCGGGGGGCGAAGGCGTGGATGCCCCCACCGTGGAGGCACTCACCCAGGCCAGGTGGCTGATGTCGGGCTAGGAGTGAAAGGAGGTACCTTCCGTTCATCCTACCATGGTTGTGCGTGGTGATGTCGACGGTTGGCAATTACTCGGGACATGGATGCCGGGGCGACGCCCTCGGATGGCGTTCCGCATGGGGCTTTCCAGCAGGCTCCATGGCGACAGTGGTGGCTACGCTCCTTGGTCGTCTGGACGACAAGGGGTGTAGCGGTGAGTGGTCGGGGCATGCAATATGTCTTTGGCGGTGACGGTGCCGCCCAGACCCGGATCTGGAGGCCGGTTCTTGACGCGACTGGTCTAGGTGCCTCCTGGTGCCACGGGTGAGCTGCTGAGCGAAAGCTACGTGCTTTGGTGCTGACACAGCGACATATGCAGGTCTTGTTATCTCTTCAAGACATCGGCATGGTTCTCCTCTCCATGGCGTGTCTCCAGGTGAAAACCGTTGCTCTTTTGGGCTCGGCGGTGGCGGTGCTTGCGTTCCTCTCTTGAGAGCGTTGTCGTGGAGGCTAGGTGTTCTAGGTCGTGTCGTAGCATTGTAATCTGGTCATTCTGTGCTTAGTTGTTTGGCAACATAGTTGTGTGTGGTTATCGTTGGCCAGTTATTTTGAGATCTGCCGTGTCAGAGGGCTATCTCACTGCATTGTATTGTTTCACTGTGTAACTTGAGTGTTGTTGCTTTATATATAAAGCGCGACGAAAGCCTGTTTTCAAGAGGCATTGTTGTCGGTCATTTGCATGTTACCAATGATGGAAATTAAGGATAATGTATGTCTAATTGATAGTACTATAATTGCTAAGCTTGTGCATACCCTATGAATGCGTGGTGGATGAGGGGGAGGGAGGGAGAGGTGTGGTATTTTTGCCTTAAATCCACATCAGTACGCGGGCATTTAGCTAGTTTTGCTAACATTGGGTACATAATCCAATTTCCCCACATATCAAATATGAATCGCAATATACAGATTACAGAAGAACAAGAATCCAACACGCAATACATGGATACGATCAACGTGTCTGAAATGCACAAACTCAAGAGTAACTCGGCTCAATTCAAAGTTGTATGGCCCGGGATTCTCCTCGATCAGGCCCGTCGCGACGACGGAGAGGGACTCGAGAAAGCAGGCGGCGCCGGGAAACTAAAGTCGAGGTCCGGCAGCATGCTCTTGCCCCGGCCCCGGCTGCTGTCGAAGACGAACGCCGCCGTGACGGGCGACTCCATGTCGACGCTGCTGCTCCGGAGCAGCTCCAGCGGCAGGTCGAAGTAGGCCGACACCTCCTGGTCGTCCTCCTCCGCGTCCACGCGGCCGCCGAACACCATGCCGGAGGACGACGAGCTGTGGCCGAACCTCTCCATGGAAGCCGCCTTGGACACCGCGCCGCTCCGGGTAGGCTCGTCAGGCCTGGCCGTGCTCGCCGGGGCGTCCGGCTCGCTCAGGCTCATGGACTGCTGCTGCTGCATGATCGGCCGCCGCCTGGACAGGCCGGGCAGGTGCATGCAGAAGGCGCCGCACCAGAAGCTCTCGCTGCCGAACCTGTCCTGCCGCGCCGACTTCCCGTAGTTGATGGACGCGTTGCTCGACATGTCGGTGACCGACGAGCTCGCGCGGGATCGCCGGCCGAATGGCGCGGCCCTGGCCGCGCCGAGATCGTCCGCGGGAATCTTCTCATCATCATCGTCGTCATCGTCTGCCACACGAGCTCCTCTCTTGAAGGACGCATGGGAGGCCTGGAATGGAGCGTCTTTTTGGAAAGAACCCATGGCACCTGAGGTGAACTCTTGCAGGAGCTGCATGCTTCTTCATGAGCGCAAAACTAAGCAAATTGACTTCGGGGAATGGTGGAGGGCACGTCGGGATCTTGCGTTGTTGTCTTCATGTCATGCTGTGCTGTTGGGCCTGTTGACCTGCCAGTGCCACCACTTCAAATCTGCTGTTGTTTCTCTGCCAAACTGTGGTCAGCTGTTGTCTTGGACGACAGAGTTATGCGCATGAGCTAGTATTTCAAAACATCCTACGTGCTTGCTACTAAGCGGCATTATTGTTACCCACCTAAACATTGAATCTTAAAAAGACTTTTATAACTACCAAACGTTCGGATTTTAGCAATAGGCAAGAACGACCCTTACTTTACTCTAATTATATATATATATATATATATATATATATATATATATGTATATATATATATATATATATATATATATTAGAATGACTAATTTTCTTTTCACGAGCACTTCTCCATCTAATTACATGCATATATGCACTAAAAACGAAAAGCTGATGTCATCTTAGATTCTTTCTTTTTTTAAACTTTAAAATGTTTTGTAGCTCAAATCATTGCTACGATTGAAAAACCGTCTTCACAAAAAAAATCGTCTCGACGAGATCTTCGAAACTAGATCCCATGTTAATATATTATGATGACTTTTTTTTGGACCAGAAGTTACCACATCTGGGCTACGTAAGTTATCATGTGTGTCATACATAAGTTAGGGATAATTACATTTATGCCCCTAGTTGTGTCCCACTCGTCTGTTTTACACCTAATTCCCAAAAGTCACCGGTTCTGTCCAAATCACTTTGCTCCTCTTATGCTTTTGCCCTTTGACCGTTTGACTGTCAGTTTGAAAACTTCATAACTAATTCATATTGAATCAGAAAAATGCAAATAAGATACCAAAATGTTCCCAAAAACATGACCTATATGTTAGTGTCATTTGCATTCATGAAAAAAGTGTTGGAAAGTGCACATCCGAGTATTAGCTCTTCTGATACCATCATGAATAGTGAACTCTAAAAAAATTCAAAAAAATTCAGAAAAAAAATATGGTGACGAAGAACAACAAATGTTCTAAGTGCTTGCCAAGTTTCATTAGGGAACGACATTCGTGGAAGTCGTGGCAAAAAAATAATCTATTTTGGAGTGATGATTTTTTTTTGCCGCGGCACCCATGAATGTTATTCCTTGATGAAACTTGGCAGGCACTTAAAACATTTATCATTCTTTGCCACCAATTTTTTTTAAAAAATTGAATTTTTTTAGATTTTACTATTCATGGTGCTAGCATAAGAGCTAAAACTCGGATGGGCATTTTCCAGCACTTTTTTCATGAATGCAAATGACACTGTCATATAGGTGATGTTTTTCTGAACATTTTGGTATCTTATTTGCATTTTTATGATTTAGTATGAATTAGTTATGAAGTTTTCAAACTGATGGTCAAACGGTCAAAGGGCAAAAGCATAATAGGAGCAAAGTGACTTGGACAGAACCAGTGACTTTTGGGAATTAGGGGTAAAACAGACGAGTGAGACACAACTAGGGGCATAAATCTAATTATCCCCATAAGTTATCGTGTCATTTACACAAAAGTTTCCGGGGTATATTTTCAACAAACTTTTATCCCAGGGTCAAAAAGTGATTATAATGTTTGCAGTGAGTTATAAGCTTCATTGTGTATATTATCATGTCGCACAAAAGTTATCGGGGTATGTTTTTCAACAATTTTCATTCCCTAAGTCAAAAAATTACCGGGATATTTGTATATGAGTTATCAGCTCTCATGTGCATGTATTATCATGTTGTTTACACATGAGTTATTAGGAGGTATTTTTTAACAACATTTTTTGCTGGTCAAAATGTTACCACATCTGGATTAACTAAGTTATCAGCCCTGTTATATGTATATTACCATGTTATTTACACACAACATATCAGGGTATGTTTTCAACAAACTTTTATCCCGGGGTCAAAAGTTACCATGGGATGTAGTGAGTTATCAACTTTATTGTGTGTATAATACCGTGTTATTTGCACACAAAGTACCG